GGTAGATGTACCACAGAAATTTTGTACATGTCGGTCAAACAAGCGGCGGGGGCTGCTTCGTTAAAGGTCACTTCCTGTTGTCAGCAGGTGGCGCTATGACTGTGGGTGAATGTCGGCATGTAGATTTGTTCAGGGCGTGACTCTTGTCAAATGTGTAAAATTTCGTGCAGATCTGGGCATTTACAGCCAAGTTACTACAACTTCCTGTTTCATGGCGAATCTTCGACGCCACGAACACGCCCATCGACGAAAACGTGCAGATAGCACAACTTTACATCGTCAATGCCTTTAGAGGCACAGCAGAAATTTTAAGTCGATCCGACAAAATCCCTAGGAGGAATTCGTTAAAGTACGGAGTCTGTAAATCGTCCAAAAATGGCCGCCAAATTCAAAATGGCGGACCTCCTGTCGAGTTTAGGGTATGGGTTCTTGAGGCTTTTTTGTGCGTCTTGATATGATACACGTCCCCACCAAATTTTGTGCATGTAGGTTGAACGTGGACGAGGGGCTAATTTTTTCCAATTTTCTAGGTGGCGCTAGCGTGCCATTTTGCCCCGCCCATCGCGAAACCCACAAAATACGAAATTTTTCACCAGTCCTGACATGCGTGCCAAATTTGGTGAGTTTTTGAGCATGTTGCGGCCCCGAAAATGGCACTTACTTTGCAGAAAAAAGAAAAAAAATTTAAAGCTGCAAGCAGCGATGGGCGGGCCCTCGCACCTGTAGCACGTCGGGGTCTGAGGCGGCCGTTGTTGCATTTTCTGCAGCTCAGCCAGTGCGGCTGTGCATTTGCTACGCTGCTTCGTTAAAGGTCACTTCCTGTTGCCAGCAGGTGGCGCTATGACTGTGGGTGAATGTCGGCATGTAGATTTGTTCAGGGCGGGACTCTTGTCAAATGTGTTAAATTTCGTGCAGATCTGGGCATTTACAGCCAAGTTACTACAACTTCCTGTTTCATGGCGAATCATCGACGCCACGGACACGCCCATCGACGAAAACGCGCAGATAGCACAACTTTACATCGTCAATGCCTTTAGAAGGCACAGCAGAAATTTGAAGTCGATCCGACTAAAGCCCTAGGAGGAGTTAGTTAAAGTACGTAATGAGTAAATCATCCCAAATGGCGGTAAAATTAAAATGGCTGACTTCCTGTTGAGTTTAGGGCATCGCTCCAAGAGACTTTTCTGTGCGTCTGGACATGGTAGATGTACCACAGAAATTTCGTACATGTCGGTCAAACATGCGACGGGGGCTGCTTCGTTAAAGGTCACTTCCTGTTGCCACTATGGCGCTATGACTGTGGGTGAATGTCGGCATGTAGATTTGTTCAGGGCGGGACTCTTGTCAAATGTGTAAAATTTCGTGCAGATCTGGGCATTTACAGCCAAGTTACTACAACTTCCTGTTTCATGGCGAATCATCGACGCCACGGACACGCCCATCGACGAAAACGCGCAGATAGCACAACTTTACATCGTCAATGCCTTTAGAAGGTACAGCAGAAATTTGAAGTTGATCCGACTAAATCCCTAGGAGGAGTTCGTTAAAGTACGGAGTGTGTAAATCGTCCAAAATCGGTCGCCAAATTCAAAATGGCGGACTTCCTGTCGAGTTTAGGGTATGGGTTCTTGAGGCTTTTTTGTGCGTCTGGTCATGGTAGATGTACCACAGAAATTTCGTACATGTCGGTCAAACAAGCGGCGGGGGCTGCTTCGTTAAAGGTCACTTCCTGTTGCCAGCAGGTGGCGCTATGACTGTGGGTGAATGTCGGCATGTAGATTTGTTCAGGGCGGGACTCTTGTCAAATGTGTAAAATTTCGTGCAGATCTGGCATTTACAGCCAAGTTACTACAACTTCCTGTTTCATGGCGAATCTTCGACGCCACGGACACGCCCATCGACGAAAACGCGCAGATAGCACAACTTTACATCATCAATGACTTTAGAAGGCACAGCAGAAATTGAAATCGATCCGACTAAATCCCTTGGAGGAGTTCGTTAAAGTACAAAGTGTGTAAATCGTCCCAAAATGGCCACCAAATTCAAAATGGCGGACTTCCTGTCGAGTTTAGGGTATGGGTTCTTGAGGCTTTTTTGTGCGTCTTGATATGATACACGTCCCCACCAAATTTCGTGCATGTAGGTTGAACGTGGACGAGGGGCTAATTTTTTTCCAATTTTCTAGGTGGCGCTAGCGTGCCATTTTGCCCCGCCCATCCGCGAAACCCACAAAATACGAAATTTTTCACCAGTCCTGACATGCGTGCCAAATTTGGTGAGTTTTTGAGCATGTTGCGGCCCCGAAAATGGCACTTACTTTGCAGAAAAAAAAAAAAAAAAAAAAAATTAAAGCTGCAAGCAGCGATGGGCGGGCCCTCGCACCTGTAGCACGTCGGGGTCTGAGGCGGCCGCGTTTGCATTTTCTGCAGCTCAGCCAGTGCGGCTGTGCATTTGCCACACTGCTTCGTTAAAGGCCACTTCCTGTTGCCAGCAGGTGGCGCTATGACTGTGGGTGAATGTCGGCATGTAGATTTGTTCAGGGCGGGACTCTTGTCAAATGTGTTAAAATTTCGTGCAGATCTGGGCATTTACAGCCAAGTTACTACAACTTCCTGTTTCATGGCGAATCATCGACGCCACGGACACGCCCATCGACGAAAACGCGCAGATAGCACAACTTTTCATCGTCAATGCCTTTAGAAGGCACAGCAGAAAATTGAAGTCGATCCGACTAAAGCCCTAGGAGGAGTTAGTTAAAGTACGTAATGAGTAAATCATCCAAAAATGGCGGTAAAATTAGAAATGGCTGACTTCCTGTTGAGTTTAGGGCATCGCTCCAAGAGACTTTTCTGTGCGTCTGGACATGGTAGATGTACCACAGAAATTTCGTACATGTCGGTCAAACATGCGACGGGGGCTGCTTCGTTAAAGTCACTTCCTCTTGCCACTAGGTGGCGCTATGAATGTGGGTGAATGTCGGCATGTAGATTTGTTCAGGGCGGGACTCTTGTCAAATGTGTAAAATTTCGTGCAGATCTGGGCATTTACAGCCAAGTTACTACAACTTCCTGTTTCATGGCGAATCATCGACGCCACGGACACGCCCATCGACGAAAACGCGCAGATAGCACAACTTTACATCGTCAATGCCTTTAGAAGGTACAGCAGAAATTTGAAGTTGATCCGACTAAATCCCTAGGAGGAGTTCGTTAAAGTACGGAGTGTGTAAATCGTCCCAAATCGGTCGCCGAATTCAAAATGGCGGACTTCCTGTCGAGTTTAGGGTATGGGTTCTTGAGGGTTTTTTGTGCGTCTGGTCATGGTAGATGTACCACAGAAATTTCGTACATGTCGGTCAAACAAGCGACGGGGGCTGCTTCGTTAAAGGTTACTTCCTGTTGCCAGCAGGTGGCGCTATGACTGTGGATGAATGTCGGCATGTAGATTTGTTCAGGGCGGGACTCTTGTCAAATGTGTAAAATTTCGAGCAGATCTGGGCATTTACAGCCAAGTTACTACAATTTCCTGTTTCATGGCGAATCATCGACGCCACGGACACGCCCATTGAGGAAAACGCGCAGATAGCACAACTTTACATCGTCAATGCCTTTAGAAGGCACAGCAGAATTTTTAAGTCGATCCGACTAAATCCCAGGAGGAGTTCGTTAAAGTACGAGTCTGTAAATCGTCCAAAAATGGCGCCAAATTCAAAATGGCGGACCTCCTGTCGAGTTTAGGGTATGGGTTCTTGAGGCTTTTTTTGTGCGTCTTGATATGATACACGTCCCCACCAAATTTCGTTGCA